GGATTACATCTCACTGTCATGTCAGCACCTGACACATGCATTCCAGTGATTGTGTTTGTCTGTGAGTGATTGGGTGACTAAATGGGAAGAGGCTCCTCATACTAACACTCTTTCAGACGTTCGGATCTGGGACAGGACATGGAAGGACTTACCTCATGCTCCACAAATGCACCTACACTTACTATGAGAACTCACTCTTGCTCCTGACAGCAGCTGACTCACTGTCTGGATTCAACAGTTCGGTCTGATTAATGCAGACCTGCGTTTCCACTACTAGCATTTGAGGAGCTTACGAGTGTGGTTCGCATCCAAATTTGGACAACAAAGTATGGAAGCCTTTTTCAGCCTCAGAGTAGAAAATACAAAAGGTTGTTGCGAGATAGGGTTTAACCCTTTAAAAAAAACAAAAAAAACCCATTCATAATCATATTACTCAGCAACCACTAAATGGAATAACATAAATTAGATATCATTTTAAAGCTTAGAATCTCAGTTTATTTAATTTAATGAATGTAATCATTTTGGTCAGCTCTTAACGAGTGCTGAGCAGTCCCTCTAACCCTGACCATACCGCCGGCGGGACGCCCCCTAGCTGTGCAAAAATTAATAATCATATTTTAAAAACTAAAGCCTTGATCAACGCAATATAGGTGTCATTTGAAAGCTTTACAATGCATGTAGCCAAATGGAAAAAAGCAAAAAGTAGTGCTGAGTTATTTGCTGATAAACTGGAGGAAAAAAATAAGTTTTTGTACTATTTACTGTAATATGTCAAAAACATCATAAAGCTCAGATAGTCATGTGTCATATGTCATTTGAAAGGTCTCACAGAGTAGATTACAACGAGTATAATTGTTTTGGGGTTTGAGTAAACTGGAGCGAGTTTTTGTACGTGAAATCCCGCAAGAGACCCCCTCAAAAATAATATATGAATATTTTCATTTATGACACGTTTTGGCTGGTAACTTTGTAAAACATGCATGAATTTTAAAAAACCAGCATTCTTTACAGCAGATTCTCACAATTAAAACGAGTCCAAATTTGTTATTATCAGTCACTTATATCTAAAGATATTCCGCTGGGAGTTAAAAAACACATAAAACCCTTCAGACGCTCATGTATCAGAGTGGTCATAATAACACTTACGATCAAGTGACATTTTCGCTCGTAACTTAATGAAACATGCACAGATAGTGGAAATCTGCACATCATTGTTTACATCAGAGTCTCACGATTAAAAAGAGTCCATGCTCAACAAATTCCATCTCTCCGATCGCAAGATATTTTTAATTGAGTTAACACCCTTCATAACACCCTACTCTAGCGCATGTTTTGAAGTAAAAAAAAAAATGCTGCATTCTTGTGGACTTTGCGACTCTTAACTTCATGAAACCAGCATAGATTTAGGAAAACGGGACAGCGTTGTTTACAGCAGATTCCCACGATTAAAAAAGAGACCAAACTTATCTTGGTCCATCTCTCAGATTTCTTGATATCTTTCGCGGAGTGAATTTAGATCCCCAGAGGAGCACGTCCAGCCATGTGTGTCGTTCCTGTGGAGCCACCACGTGTATCTTTGTGAAACTTGCATATATTGTAGAAAATACTTCAATCATTTGCAGTACACATATAGGAGAACATACTCAAAAAAGAATTTTTCTCCTACCTTATTTCCTTCCTGAGTTATTGCATGTCAAATAATAAAAATATGTACAATTTCACTTTTTTCACAAATGTTTTTTTGGCTTTTATCAGCAGTTTCTCATCAAAAGAAAATCCAAATGTCACAATTTATTTATTTATTTATTTTTTAATTTAGAAAGTTTTCTTTCAAACGATACCTAACTTTTGACTGTCCTTGCTATAGTTTTGGGGTTATGAGTCATTATTTTTTGTATGTCACTCAATAAACTACAGTTTAAAAAAAAAATTGCTGGCTAAACAAAAACGCTACTTTGGTTCCAAATGCTGTAACTTTTTATTTCTTTATTCTATCACTACAAAATATGAATCATTTGTAGCACACATATAGGGGAACATCCACAAAAAAGAATTATTTCCTTCCTGAGATATTGTATGTCAAATTAAAAAAAAAAGTAAATTTAAATTTTTTTTTTTACACTTTTTTTTTTTTTTTGTCTTTTATCAGCATTTTCTCAGCAGGAGAATGTCCAAATGTAATGATTTTTTCCCCCCGAAAAATTTAGTTTTCTTTCAAACGATACCTAACTTTTGACTGTCCTTACTAGAGTTTTGGAGTTATGAGTCATACATTTTGTGTGTCACTCAGCCGTTCTCGACTCTAAAATGCCTTCAGTGCTTAAAGGGTTAAACTAAGAAAAAAAGTAACTATGCGCAATAAAAGGTTGCAGTTGTGAGATACAAAAACATATGTGATATGAAGTTGCAGATATGAGACACAAAATCACATTGTGAGATTCAAAGTCAGAATGAAGAGAAACAAATTCACAATTGTGATATATGAAGACACATTGTGAGGTGTAAAGTTGCAACTGCGAGATATAAAGTCTCATTGCAAGATAAAGTCGCAGTTGCAAGATAGGAAATCACATCACAAAATTCAGTTACAATTACGGGAAATATGTTGCAATTTTAAGATATTAAGTCAGATGATATATAGTTACAACTGCGAGATTGTGAGTTGCATTTGTGAGATACAAAATCACATTGCGAGATAAATCATTGTGTGATAAGTTGTGTGAGATATAAAGTTGAAATTGTGAGACCTAAAGCTGCATTGTGAAAAATAAAGCTACACTGTGAGATAAAAAGTCACAACTGTGATAAAAATTGTGAGATTCAGTCAGAATTGTGTTAAATCTCGTTGTCATAATTATGAGAAATAAAGTCCCAATTGTGAGATAAGAAGTCACAGTGTAATGTATAAAGTTGTAATTGTTCAACTTAAACTACCATTGCGATATAAAGTAGCCATTTTAATTTTTATTCCAAGGTGGAAACAGGCTTTCATAGCAGAGATCTGATCTTAGCACAGTATGATTATTTAGGCATTACATTTACACAGGCCAGGTTTTGAGGTCAGCAGATAGGAGCGCCTTACATCAGTGCAGCATACACACACAACTCTTCCAACGCTCAGAAGCAAAGCTTCCAACATGAAAATATTTATGTAAGACATTCCATCAGTTTGCCTTGCAGCAATTCCTCCAGAGGCAAAATTACAGTTTGAACGAAAACAGAACGCTCAGATGACTAAAACGCCATCAGGCCACAATGGCATCTTTATGTCTTGTATATAAAAACGGATCTGAGTATACACATAAAGATCAACACACATCCGTATGCATAAGCAGGCCAGGAGACTGTTCTGGGTAAACTGTTTTGTTTGAAGAGAGCGAGTGTGTGTGTGTGTGTGTGTGTGCGTGCAGTATGACAGGTGTATGGGGCAGGTGCATGCAGTTGTCCCTGTGCTGTCATAGTGCATTCACCTGTTCACCTGCCACCCATCAAACATCACAGTTACAAACCAGTGAGTCACTCCTATTCATGGGAAATGAAGCACCGCTCTTCCTAATAATGCATTTCAACAGCTTCAAATAGTATGAGCCATCAGATTACAGGTATGACCAAAGTCGTGTCCCAAATGACGTACTATACATGATGCACTTTGTACCCAACCATGTAGTGTAAGAATTTTGTAAGGTTATTTTTTCATCCAACATAGGCGTCTGATATCCTCTCCCCCTCTGCTACATAAGGAAACTATGACTGTTGAGGAGTCCAAGATTCCAAAATGTGAAAAAAAAGAAAAGAAAAAATTCACATATTGCTTAACGTTTACTTACCCTAAGGCCATCCAAGATGTGGATGAGTTTATTTCTTCATTGGAACAGATTTGGAAAAATTTAGTATTACATCACTTGCTCACCAATGGATTCTCTGCAGTGAATGGGTGCCGTCAGAATGAGAGTCCAAACAGCTGATAAAAACATTACAATAATCCATAAGTAATCCACATGACTCCAATTCCTCAATTAACATATTGTGAATAGCCGTAAAAAACTATTTAATCACGAATGAATCATTAAGATGTTTTAACTTTAAACTATTGATTCCAGCTAAAATATGAGTCCTCTATCTATAATATTGCTTTCTCCAGTGAAAAAGTCTTCTGAATCAGGACGGAAATATTATTTACAGTGAAAACATTTATGTCAAATATGTCATAACTGTAATATGTCATAACATAATTAACAAATATGTCAGTGGATTTTGATTTGAGAGGACAACAGCAGATGGACGTTTTCACTGGAGGAAGTATTATGGACTCATATTTTAGTCAGAAGCGATGGTTTAAATGTCTTGATGGATTTGTTTCTTACAAACACACAGACTTAACAAGACATTAACTGATCAACTGGAGGATTACTGTGATGTTTTATCAACTGTTCACTCTGATGGCACCCATTCACTGCAGAGGATCCATTGGTGAGTCTTTTCCCCCATTTTTTCGTAAGTGTACCAAATCAAAAATGAGTGAGCATGAATCAAAGTCTTTGTATAAACTTAAATTATTTTATTGGAAATGATTTGGACAAATACAAAAAGACATGAAATATGAAAAAAGGTATGCTAAAAAAATTGCACTGAACTCAATTCTATTTTAAGACATTTCATGCACAAATTGTGGTGTCAATAAATTGTGATATCGAAGTCGGTATGTCCACGAGCATAGTGGACAATATGAAAAACATTGTAGTCTGTTTATTGAAAATGTCCTTTTCTTCACATCAGACAAAAATACAGAAGTGTTGCATGTCATCACTTGAAAAAACATTGAGGTACAAAGAAAAAAAAAAAATGTATTACAAAAAGTAGCATGGCTTTGGTTTCAATGGTCCAATCATTCGTGTCAATAATACAAAACGACAGGACTTCAATACTCTTTGGTAAATTGGAGTGCACTTTAAAACTCAGTCCCTGTACAACAAAAGGAAGAGGGATAAAGGAGAGTAAAAAAAACAAACAACTTGTGGTAAAAAGAACAAACATCGGTAAAAACAAGTGATGAACCTTGCGCATGCAGGTTACAACACACTAAAACCAACTGAAAAAAAAAAACACACAGTCAACTGTGGTCCATTACGACTCTCTCCAAGTGTGTTTCTAGAGAACTCGGTAGACACCACCTGTTATCAGAGATGTGACGGTCAGGGCCGTGGCACCTGTTAGCACACTGCCTCCGCACCACAGAACAGCTGTCTGTCTGTGTGCTTATGTTTGCATGTGTGTGTATGTGTGTGTCATGCTGAGAGACATACCCTACATGTGAGCCCACCCCCAACCTGACAGCAGCTGTCCCTTGTTCAGGAGTCCTAGCTGAACAGCTATTATATTTTAAACATTCATAACTCCTTCATTTGAAGTAATCTGGTTAGGAAAAAAGTCTGTGGCATTTGGAAATGTATCGACCGTGTTATGTTTAAGAAGTCCTCTGAAATGTCACGTCATCCTTCTCCTGTCACATATTGCGTCTATGTGCGGGTGTTGAGAGGAAAAGCGCATGGTCATTATTATCTCACAAGGCACCATGTCCGAATTAATATAAAATGGTGTGTTCAGGCCGTAGAGGGACAGCAGCTGGCTGCGCTGTGTTTCTGCAGCAAGGACATGCGGCTGAAGGTGCGAGAACAGGTGCTGCACTGGTATTTCTTCACATCTGCGTGGGTCTGCAGGTGCGCGCGCAGGTTAGAACGGTCTGCAAAGGCACGGTTACAGTGTGGGCAGGAGAACGGACGTTCACCTGTGGGGAAGAGAGAGAGAGAGAGAGAGAGTAAAAACGTCTCGGGTTACGTATGTAACCCTAGTTCCTCGAGGGAACGAGACGCTGCGTCGAAAACGCTAGGGGAACGCCGTTCAGCGTGACGGGCTCTGAATCTCGTGTGTAATCAGACTAACAGTTAGTT